TATGGCCCTGGGAAGTTGATGGAAGTCTCAGTTGCCCACAGAGCTCCGACTACAGACCTCCGTCTAGTTTCTCGCTGCGCATGCACCCCCAAGAAGTACTAGAGATGGTATTCACAAATATAATTTGCAAGATTCGAATGTATGTAACCACAAATTACTAGTAGATACTTATTTATGGAAAGACCAGGGAGAATATTATAGATAGCAACATATGCCTCGCTTCATTATCTGTCTGCCCTATATATGCAAGCGTCAAACAGAAGAGATTTTAGTTTCAACTAAGTGTATGATACACAATATGAACAGGTAAAAGGTATTATAGAATGGAAAAGAAAATAATAGAATTCCTTATGCCTCTTACTAAAATGATGACAGGTTTTATAATTTGTGAAAAACAAATACTTTTATTTCTTATTCTTTGCCTAGCTGAAGGTGACTTATATGTTGCCCCCTTGCTTCCTCCTGGGATTCCTATGTCAAAGGTTGTTGGTTCTGTTTCAGTAGGTTTTTATTGAAAAAGATTTCCATCATGAATGCAGGCAAACATTAAATCAGAGGAATTTAAAGCTCTGTATGATCTACAAAGAAGAACTAAATTTAGGGCTGAGGAAACACAGTATAATTACAATTTTAGAACCACAATAGCTAGGATCCTCCCACGTCTCTGCTTACACTATGGATACAATTACCAGACATAAGATTAAAAAGTAGGGCAATTCAGGGAAAACACAAAGAATACAAAATAAAAGGGGGGTGGAGAGAAAGAGCAGGGTTGAGTAAGGGAAAGGAAAGTGCAAGAGCAATCAAAGTGACAAGTCAGTCTGCACATGTTTGGGATCTGGAAACGTGACCTGTGATGTAGGAAACCAAGATGGTGGCATGGGTGGGATTTTTAATAAAGGAGTGGCAGGTGAGAAGGGGACAACACTGTAATTTTTGGGCTTGTAAGTATGTTTATTCAGGAGAAAGTACCAGTAAAAGTAAAATACCTCTAGCCAATTTTTGGCTTTAGGAGGTGCAAGGAATGCTTTAAACAGATATGATATATATATTATATATATATATATATATATATATATATGCACAATCTTTGCTTTCCAGGAAACATGTTTGCATGACAAAGGAATTTTCTATGAGTTATGTAAATAAACATCACAGCATGACCCACATGGAAGAAAATATATTTGAAATATTTTAAAAATATTCTTCCCAAATATATTGACATATATTTGAAATGCTACAATTTTGGCCCTATTCAATATATTTCAAAATATATTTCAATAAATGCAATCTTGCATGTGTGATCTGTTTCACTTGTTTCCCTACAATTAGCTCTTTTTATTTTCTCCCCTTAGGTTTGCCATCATTAATTGCTTGTGTGCTACATTTTTTATATTTTTGTATGATTTTTTCAATTTATTTTTTAGAATGTTGCAATAAATATACAGAAAAATGCCATGCTTTGTACAAGAATGTTTTAGCATAATAAATGGAACAAATAAAATAATTTATACAGCCTATAAAATATTTACTTTTATTGCAGACAATAATGATTTTGGGCTCCCTTTGGATGTTAGTTCCTAGGGATGAGTGAAAAATGAATTTTCACTATTATATATTTTTGTCAAAATCAGTTTGGAATGCATTGGAGTGAATTGTGAAATTAGGGCTATATAAAGCTGAAGAGTGGGCAAAAACTTTATTGGGGAATTAGCTAGGTACAAATAAGGTAACTCTAACAATATGTGTCTCACTGGTGGCTGTTGCTGCTTTCTTGAAAAACGTTAATTACAGCCTCTGATGGCGATGTCGCTGCTCAAGCTCCATCAATGAAACCTACAGACTGTGTTGTTGTACAGCAATCAAAGTGGGTTGTTCATTGTGCAGCAACTCTATCCAGAATGCATCCTTTATTCTTTGAATAATTAGTCTATATCTTTTTGTCTGTTTGTGGTGATTGATTCTCACCTCCTTTTTGCCTCTCTATGATCAAATAACTAATCATCTTTTATGACTTTAACCTGTGTCTGTGGCTGGTCTGGCTTTGACCAATCCCCCCCCCCCAATTCATGTGTTTCTTAGCCGTTCCTAATTGGGGTGGAGAAAGATTCCTCATTTGATCATCTCCATATAAATTTAGACCAGCTTATGGGGGAAGTCACAGACAGGGGGCACAATCACAGATAGTTCAGTGTCCTGCATGAGTGCATTTTCTGCTGGAGTGTGAAGCAGCAGTTGAACACAGCAGTTTAACTAAAGCAGGATAACTAAAGCAGCAGGAAGATACAACAAAGAACTCTACTACACTCTGGAGTGACTGCAAGCAAAACACCCTGGGAAATATCTCCTACAAGTCTGATTCCCACTCCATGTACCATTCAGTATGCCACCTGTACGCCTCCTTTTCAAATTAGTATCCTCTTTTCTCAAAATCTAATTTCTTTTCCCCTCTGCTCCTCTCCAAAACTTATACATCTCACTCTCATCACCTCCTGCTAATACCTAACCCACCTGCCGACCCAAACACCAGGACAGGACGGCATGTGCACTCATTTACAAGCCACTCCCATCTTACTTTCCTCACCCTCCTTCTCCTAACCTCTGGGTATATCTCCCCGAACCCAGGTCCTCCAGTATCTCACACCCACACCAGGCACCCTCCTTCTTCCAGCAATAGCCGCAATCCACACAATTTAATCTCAATCCCCCTGCTCCTAAAAAGCACCCTCCCTTTTTCATGCGCACTCTGCAATGCCCGCTCTGTCTGTAAAAAAACTCACCTCTGTCCATGACATTTTTGTCTCCCACTCCTTTAACCTACTACCAATTACAGAAACCTGGCTTCATGCAGCAGATTCTGCTTCTCCTACAGTACTGTCCCATGGAGGTCCCCACTGGACTCACTCACCCAGACCCTGTGGTCAGAAAGGAGGTGGAGTTGGTTTGCTTCTATCCCCACTGAGCACCTTTCAAGTCCTCCCTAACCCTCCCTCTCTATCCTTCTCTTCTTTTGAGACTCACTGTATTTGGCTGTTTTCTCCCATTTCTCTGAGGATTGCAGTGATCTATCAGCCTCCTAGACCAGTGTCATGCTTTCTTGATAACTTCTCTGCCTGGCTACCCTACTCTCCTATGAAATACCCACTATCATTCTTGGTGATTTTAACATCCCCATTAATGTTAAAAACCCAGCTACTTCTCAACTCCAAGCTAACCTCATCTTTTGCCCTAACACAATGGACACAGTCTTCCACTCACTCTGATGGGAATACCTTAGACCTTGTTTTCCCCCATCTTTGCATTCCCTACAACTTCACCAACACCCCCTTTCCTCTCTCTGATCACAATCTCATCACCTTCACAGTGTCCCTCATCTTAAAACACCTATCCCTGCAAGCAGCAATCACCCACAGAAACCTTCACAACATGAACCCTTCTTTTTTCTACTCTGCAACCGACCACCTCTATGACAGAATCTCTCCCCTGTCCTGCCCTGACCTGGCCACTTCTGTCTACAACAGTTCACTTTCTTCCACACTAGACTCATTTGCTCCTCTATCTACACAAAGTATCAGGCCCCGTCCATTAAAACCTTGGCAGACTGACGACACCAGAAATCTTAAGAGACATAGCCGTGCACTGGAGTGATTGTGGCTTAAAACCAAATCCCAGCCAGCATTCACCCTATATACATCTGCTTTCTTAAAATACAATTCCTCCCTCCATGCTACCAAACAAGCCTACTTTGTCACTTTTATTAATATCTTGTCATCTAACTTAAGAACCATCTCCCTCCTGCCATTTACCTCTAAACTCTTAGAAAGCCTAGTCTACAATCTCCTGAGCTCTTACCTGACAACAACCTTCTTTTTTTTTTTTAGCGTTTATTTGATTTTCTAATACAAAAAGAACAAAAAATTTACAAAAATTGTTCACATATACCCATTCCCACATCCCCCCCCTCCCCCCAAACCCCTCCCCCTCCTAGAGTTCTAGAGTTTTGGCAGCGCATTGCACCTCCAGGCTGCCTATCCTTATCATATAAACATTTCTTAGTTCCTGCTGCACCTCAAACCCCCCTAATTCTCCCTATATGAGCCCACAGCCTTGACATGTGATTAAAGGGTTGAAGAAGGAAAAGGCGTAAGAGAAAAAAAAAAAATCAGCACCCCTTGGGTCATGCCTCTCATTCCCTTCATCCCCTCCGTCCCTCCCTCCCCACACCGAGTTACCTTCTCCTTTTATTTACCATCTGCCATGTTTCCTTCCCTGGCCTTAAACATTCAGTGGACCCTTCTGCCCACCCCACAATGTCTGTTTCCTGTAAATCTAATTTTCTACAAAAGTCACTGAATTCTTTTGGGAATCTCAGTCTTGCTGATTTCCCATCTCTCCAAGGCAGGGCACCCCCAGTTATACCAGATTTTTCTCTTTCATCTGCTCCAGTAATGGTTTCAATGATCTTCTCCTAGCTAATGTCTCAGATGAAATGTCAGCAAATATTTGTATCTTTTTATCTCCATATTTTATTTCAGGGGTCTCTCTGATCTTTTTCCAAATTTTTTTTCTCTACCCTCATAATTGTGGAAACGGACAATCACGTCTCTAGGCAAGTTAGCTGATACTCCTTGCGGTCTCCTTATCCTATGAATTCTCTCCATTTTAAGATGTTCTGTTGGAGATCTATCTTAAGCACTTTCTTTATTTTATCTTCCAATTCTTCTCCATGGGACTCTTCTGGCAAGCCGTGGATCCTTAAATTGTTTCTTCTTTCCCTATTTTCTTGGTCCTTTATTTTAACCGCCTCCCTCCCGCCCGCCATATAGTAATATGACGGATGCAAGGCGGTTCTCTTGTTCTGGGAGGACGTCATATGACGTCCTCCCATTCTAACTGCGCATGCGCGGCTCCTGGAGCATGCAGCGGGGCGATCGGTGGTGCGCTGTGTCCCTCGGACATAGTGGATCACCGATCCACAGAAAGAGCCGAAGATGTTGGCTCGGTCATGTGATCTGCTGTGTCCAATCACAGCTGATCACATGTAAACAGGGAAATGCTGGTTTGCAGCATTTCTCTCCCCATGAGCTGTCACGCTGACAGCTCGTGAGGAGAGGAGAGCCAGTAATCGGCATTCCTCGGAGGGGTCATGTACACTGATCATCAGAGCACTGATAATCAGTGTGCCCTGATGATCTCTGTAGCCCCAGCAGCGCCACCTGTCAGTGTCCATCAGTGCCAGCTCTCAGTGCTTATCCATGCCACCTGCCAGTGCCTATAAGTGCCACATCAGTGCCACATTTCAGTGCTCATCAGTGCCACATCAATGTCACATATCAGTGCCCATCTGAGCTGCCTTTCAGTGTCACCCATCAGTGCCACCTATCAATGCCAGTCAGTGCCACCTATCAGTGCTGTCAATCAGTGCCACCTATCAGTGCCAGTCAGTACCGCCTATCAGTGCCAGTCAGTGCCACCTATCAGTGCGCATCAGTGCCGCCTAACAGTGCCAATCAGTGCCACCTAACAGTGTCACCTATCAGTGCCATATGAGTGCTGCCTTTCAGTGCCCATCAGTGATGGCTGCCAATGCCTATCAGTGCCACCTACCAGTGCCTCCTCATCCGTGCCCATCAGTGCCATCTATCAGTGCCCATCAGTGCAGCCTTATTAGTGCACATCAGTGAAGGAGAAAAATCACTTATTTACAAAATTGTATAACAAAAACTAAGAAAAAACGTTTTTTTTTTCAACATTTTCAGTGGTTTTTGGTTTGTTTAAGAAAAAATAAAAAACCCAGAGGTGAATAAATACCACCAAAATAAAACTCTATCTGTCACAAATGATAAAAATGTCATATGGGGACAGTGTTGCATGACCGTGCAATTGTCATTCAAAGTGCAACAGTGCTGAAAGCTGGAAATTTGCCTGGGCAGGAAGGGGGTATAAGTGCCCTGTAGGCTAGTAGTTAAAAGCAAGCTTTCTCTGTTCTCTTTGCGTTTCTTCTATCTGGTTCTCAAGTTCAGTGATCCAAAGCTCCTGTGTCTTCATTTTCCCCTCTACCTCTTCCACTCATGTCAATATTCGACCCAGATCATTATGTATTGCCGCCTTTTCATTTTTCATAGATACCTCTAATTTCGCAAACGTATCTGCCATATCGGCTTTTGTAAGTGTTTGTGATGTAGATCCTTGTTGCTCCATAACACTTTGATCCATTGTACTGTCCGCATTTGTCAGGTCATAGGACTGCTGCGCTTCTTGTGTTCCCAGTGACAATCTTACATGTTCTACCACCCCTTTCCTAGTTCTCTCCTGTTGCTTCTCTGGGGTTACTTTCTCCTGGCTTTTCTCCTGTAGGGGTAGGTACTTCCTTATTGTGCTAGTATTTGCACATGCTTGGGGGTTTTTACCCCCCCCCCCCCTTTGGCGGCTTTACTCCCTCATCTTCTTATATTTTGCCACTGAGATTGTTGAAACACACGTCTGCTGTATTATCCGTCCCCCCCTAAGAGACTTTCCCTCCTATAAATAATTTGGGAGCAGGATTGATCTATCTGGTACCACCGCCACTGAGAATCGCTGAGCACCCCCAAAATACAGTCCTTAACCCTCAAAATATTCAGGAGTATGATTAAACTATATCATTAACAGTAGGTGATTCACAATAGAGAAAGTCCTGCTGTTGCTCACGGCAACTCACCAACCCCTTTCATATCGCTAGCTCTGGATCTCGTCTTCATAGGGTGCACTCCATCCCAGCTGTTACCATCTTGTCCGACTCCTGATGGAATTAGATAGGTTAAAGAAATTTATAAAAAGTCTTTGTTCCTTTAATTTCTGGGGTGCCTCAGGGTCTCCCAAAAGGTTCTAGCCAGGTCTGTAATAACTCATTTTGTAAAATCTGCTTTTCTTCAGCTGTAAAGCCACAGCACTCTTCTAAGATTTTAAAATTGCCTGTCACTTTTTCAAAATTGCCGCCTTTCATCACATGGGCTGTCACATGGTATATCACCTTGGCAGTCACATGGAAGTCACAGGGACGCTCTCACCATCCACATCGCCGCCCCGGCCACTACTGATCCTACTGATCCTCACCACTCTGCCACCTCTCCCAGGGGCATTGGACCGGATCGCTACCTCCAAGCCCGGCTCAGTACCCGGTCCCGCTGCTGCCACGGCTCTCCTCTCCACTCTGCTCCCGCCTGGCTCATGGTAGGCCTAGGCTTTAGATATATGAAGCTGCTCACTGCACCATGTTCATGCTCCTCCCCCACCTGGGGACAACAACCATCTTGACCCTTTACAGTCCAGCTTCCTCTCACTACACTCCACTGAAACTGCCCTTCTAAAACTCACTAGTGATTTACTAACTGCTAAAACCAATTTCCACTACTTCATACTCTTACTACTCAACCTCTCTGTGGCTTTTGATACTGTTGACCATACCCTCCTCAAAAAACTCCACTCCCTTGGCCTCCAAGACCTTGGTCTCTCCTGGTTCTCCTCCTGCCTATCACAGCACTCCATCAGTGTTACCTATAACTCTGTCTCCTCCTCTGCACCTCCTTTTTCTTTAGAGGTGCTTCAAGGTTCTGTCCTCGGACCCCTTCTCTTCTCCATCAACACCTCCTCCCTTGGTCACTTGATAAACTCCCATGGCTTCAAGTACCATCTCTATGCTGATGACACACAAATCTATCTTTCTACTCCTCTCCTCACCCCTTCAGTATCCTCTCGCATTACTAACCTGCTAAGGGACATATCAGCATGGGTGTCACTCCACTTCCTCAAACTCAATCTTTCTAAAACTGAGCTCATAATATTCCCTACAGCCCGTGCCCCCTCCCCTGACTTCTCCATCAAGATCAATAATACCACCATCAGTCCCCAAATCCAAATCTTGTAGACTTCACCTCCATAACATCTCCAAGATGCACCTGTTTTTAACCACCGAAACCACTAAGCAACTTATTCACTCCCTTGTTATCTCTCACCTTGACTATTGTAGCTCTCTCCTCATTGGCCTACCTATTCGCAGGCTATCCCCTCTTCAGCCTATCATGAATGCTGCTGCCAGACTCATCCACCTTACCAGCTGTTCCATGTCTGACATCCCTCTCTGCCAATCCCTCAACTGGCTTCCTATTGCCCAACAAATAAAATTAAGAACATTAACAGTAACATGTAAAGCCATTTATAACTCTGCCCCAAAGTGCATCACCAATCTTGTCTCCAAATATCACCCAAACCGTCCTCTCTGCTCCACCCACAACCTCCTGTTCTCTGGCTCCCTTGTCTCCTTCTCCCATGCTCATCTCCAGGACTTCTCCAGAGCCTCCTCCATCCTCTGGAACTCTCTACCTCAATCTATCTGACTATTGCCTACTCTGCCCACTTTTAGGCAATCTCTGAAACCTATCTCTTCAGGGAAACCTATCCTGCCTCCAGCTAATAACCAAATCTTTTATTTCTCCAATCAGTTCGTCCCCCACAGTTATTACCTTTTGTACCACTAGTTTCAAGGAGCAGGGCCCTCCTAACCCTCTTGTATTGAACTGTATCATTGCTGTATTGTCTCCCTTTATATTGTAAAGTGCTGAGTAAGCAGTTGGCACTATATAAATCCTGTATAATAATAATTGGACAAGAGGTGTATGAACATCATGATCTCTTCTTGCCAGAAGACCTCAGATACTGCAGCAGTTCAGATCCGAGGGTGGCTCCTCCTAAGCTCTAAATTGTCCCACTGACAAAGCCAGTCTAAGGTCTGATGAGTGGACTTGGGGGGAGAGATCTCTAATGGAGAGATATACTGGGGGAAGAGTTGTTCTGGGGGATAGATGGTAGTGGGATGAGATTTGCACCTTGTACTCTATATAATTAATGCTGGCCTGTGCATTAAACAGTTCTGGACCCTGCAGTCTTGACCCTTACACTCTGTGTATTACATACTCTTGATTCTTTGAATCTGTACATTACATATTCCTGACCCACGTATGCTGTACAATTTGCAAGCCTGACCTATGTGTGTAATGCATTCCTGACCCCTGCACTATGTGTGTAATGTAACCTAATCAGTGAACTCAATGCATTACATATTCCTCTGCACTCTACATGTTAAGCACTCCTAACCTCTGCAATCTGTGCTCTGAATACTCCTGACCCCAGTGCTCTATATCCTACTCCTGGAACCTGCAGTTTGAGCTTTACACACTCTCAACCTTGCCCTCTGTATATTTCACACTCCTGACATCTGCACTCGCTGCTCTTCACACTGATTACCCCTTCACTCTGTGCATGCTGCACTCCTGAATAAATATACATTTGAATAAAATAAATTTAAATAAAAAAATCTGCTAAAATTTTATCAGCAGAAAACATATTCATTTATATAGTTGTCTAGTTCTACATTTTCTCACATGTCATGGTCAATATTTAAAGCAGCACTCAAGTAAAAAAAAAATAATAGTAGCACATTAATAGAAAAACAACAGCTTTTGCGTCAATATTCTTCTTCAGTCCAGAGTTAACCCTGTAGTGCTTTCCACCACTAGATGTCTTTTTGATTGAAGAACAGCCAGCCTCATTCCACTCACTTTCTTTGAGCCCAAGGTGCCATGGCAACATCATCACACAATCTGGGCTCAGAGTATTGCTGAATGGTATAGTATTCACATGTAATTAGGTGAGCATTGTCCAATGCAGCTCTAAGGACTCCAACTACCAGAGAAGAAGATGAAGGATCAATTGCATCTTTAGACTGACCCAAAGAAGTGTACTGTGACCTGGGTCCACACTAGACTTCTGCTTTAACTAACATATCAGTTCATCTTTTACTTAATCATAGATTTAACAATAAAATATTCTTAATTTAATACATTGAAACAGAGGCTATATTGTATTTTTGTCTATTATTTTAAGACACAGAATGGGTAGTTGCTATTAATAAGAGTTGCTGTATAAAACAAACAGTTGCATTATTAGTACCTACTACAATCCAAATGTTATTAATTACACAATATTTCATTTCCTCAGTCACTACGTTTTGTGCAGGTATGTGAAAGAAATGGATCAGCAGAAATTGTTTTGTGATTCACATTATGTGCATACTATTTATTTATTTCATAAATTATTAGTAACTTGACTGTATTAAAGCAGCATTTGTCTTTTTATTAGAATGATGAGAAATTATTTAATCAACCCAATCTACAAGTGAATGGGTTTATTTAACGGAAAAGGATAAAGAACTCTTTTGAAATAATAGGGTTCCCTTTTCTTTAACAACTCACTTGTTCAGACTGTGTGCTTTCAAGCATTCTCCTGCCAAATTCATTCTGCCTCAACAGGAGAAGGATGATAAATTATCTGGCTACCTAGGGGAGGGAGAGAAATCCTTAGCATGGTTCTGGGAATTTGTTAAGTAC